CATAGATTTTATATTGAAGCACGAGTTTTGAGTATGCATGGTCACCAATTTATTGTCGGTGATGCCATCTCCAATAGCTCCAAAAGTAGTTACATCAGTTATAGGTTGAGACTGTGAGATACCGATGATCGTCAGAATGCAAGTAATCACAAGCTTTATGCAATTGGGCTGCATTAATAAAATAAATTAGCTTTTTGAATTAATCAAACAAAATTAAGATCTAAGATAGCAAATAGAAGCTTAATTACCATGATAATGTTGATGGGTTTTTCTTACGAATTGCATTGTTTTAAGGTACATATTTATAGGAAATAAAAAACGAATTTATTTTTGTAAAGTATTTATTAAAACTTTATCCGAAATCATGAGATTTAGTTTCCTTTATATTTTTATGGAAACGATTGTTTTTTAATTAATTTTGGATAAATAAAATCTGTTTGCATGCTTYTAAGATATACTCCCAATGTTTATAAAAACTAATCTCATCCTCTAATTCTTTTATTTATTATTAATTACGTAATAAGTTTGAATGAGGCAATTTATCAAAAAAAAAAAAATTGGTTTTCTTCTAAGCCGTCCATTTTTACCGACGGACTTTACACACCCGCTGGCAAAAATATCTTTAATAGTTTAATGACTTTTTTACCAACGAATTTTTCTAACTCGTCGGCAAAAATAAACTTTTGCTGATGAATTTAATATAACGTGCAACTAAATGTTGCATTAATCGGTTGTCTTGCCAAACCCGACTGTAAAAATATTTTTATTATTTTAATGGGTTTTAGCGGCGAACTTCACTAGGTCGTTGGTAAAAGTAATTTGAATTATTAATAATTTATTCGTACACACTTTTGTCAGCATACTTCCTAAATCCGACAACAAATGTATTTTAATTTCATTAGCAATCCCTTATGACACATTACGCCCTAGTACAAACCCATTCCTACCCATTCCAATTAACAAAACCCAATACTATCAATTGCATACCAAATATGACCTGTTATAACTAAATACGACCATTATAACTCAACATAACCCAATACGATACAATACCCACTACAACCCTTCAGAACCTTATACGGCCTATTACAACAATCAACACCCAATACGACTCATTAAAATCACCATAACTCAATACAACCCATTACAAAACCAATAAGACCAAATACGACTCATTATAACCCATTACAACACAATAGCACCAACAAAACCAAATATGCCTCATTACAACTCGACATAACCCAAGCACAGGACCATACTCGTTACCACCCAATATGATCCATTGTTGATCCTCTCTCTCAGTGATTTGATGATAATCCCTTTTTCCTTCCGATGTATTTTGTGTTTCTGTACTTTCAGTTCCAGCGATCAATGCACTGAGCATGTTCAGTGATCGCTGAAGAACTCG